TTCAATCCCAAAGGAACGATGCCAAAAACTAGTGGACAGCATGCAGCGAAGATGTGAAGGGGTAATTAAAAATGGTGGATATAGTACAAAATACTAACGAACTGAGCAATTTTATGATATTTTTTAGTCATTTTTTTACCTTTTTGTAAACTTTTTTCAGACTGTGCTATTTATGTGTCCCAGCTGCCATATAGGATATTGATGTTTTCGTATTTTTTTTATCAATAATAAAATATTTATTTTTTTAGTGTTTTAGTAATATGAAAGTGAATAATTTTTAAAATAAAACGCATTTCTTTTTAGACCCCTAAGAGATAAACTTAAGGAATAAATAAATGTTGTTTTATTTGATGACCAAGTGTGCTATTTATGTGTCCATGGCTGTATATATGTATATGTATATATGTATATAAAAAGAGAGACGGAGAGTGTTAGAAAGTAAAAGCGCAATCAAACGGATGTGCGCAGGAAGTATAGGAAGTCAGATGGGCAGTCTGAGCAAGCGATTTAACAATGAAAGGCGGAAGGAAACAAGCAGGAAGAGACAGAGCAATAAGATAGGCAAGACTGCAAGATAGGCGATTGAATGAAAACGGAAATATCTCACTACATATAACCAAATCAATTTGCCACTTTTGTTGTCTTGCTGGTTAAATGAATGAAATCGAGGTGATATGCTTTGTTGTCTTTTACGTAAAGTGATTGACTAAAGGCAGGTACTTGCTTGGCTAGAATATAAATTACAAAGTGGCACGCAATTGAGCGAATATTAGCCGAAGGTATAAGTATACTGGAAAATTAAAAATAAGTAAAAAAAATACATAAGAAATAAAATCTGAGTGCAGACGTTTACACGGTCAAACACTCTCTGTTTGTTTAAGAACGCACACTTACACACACAAGACTAAAATATACATAGGTATGTATATATTCATATGCTAAGCTGCACGCCATGTAAATGCTCACTTTATTTCACTTAATTTCACGCCGCACTAGTTAAACGCCTAAAAGCAACTCACCGCACAGCCTAAATGTAGGCAACAAAAGGTAGACTAAACAATTTATGCCTTGCTGGCATAATGACGCATACAGCGCCCAACCTAAACAAGTGTCTGTGCGCCCAGTCTATTTATACTAGCGCCGCAAATGCAGACTTTTTTCAACTGACAACTATGTAGTCCTCTAACATGCCGCTTGGAGCTTCATTAAATTATCAAAAAGAAAAAAAAAAAAACAATGAAAACCATTAGATGCGGTCGTTATGTGGGCGCGCATGACCGAGACAGCAAAAGTAGATAACGATAAAATGGTGGTATGCGACTACAGAACAGTGCCGACAGTTCATAGCCGCAGCTAAATTACTTAGAAAATAAGGTAGCAGCTCTGGCAAGAACATAAAAGTTGTAAAAAGTAAAAGATAGGAATTTTGTGGGAGAGTTACGAATTTGCATGCAGTACATAGATAGTATAGTCTACATAGATACATATGTACTATCTATGAGTAGGCTTAAAAACAATGTTAAAGAATTTAACATTTCCGCAAAGTGAGCAACAATGTTTTAAGCTAAAACAAATTAAACTTTCTGTGTGTTGCCTGTAAGAAATTCATCGTCGTGGTGGCACAGCAAGCGGACACTGTATGATAGAGTGGTGAAAACATATTTACTAACTGCAGTTTTTAGCACAATATTCTTCTTGTTATACTCTCTACCCAAATGCAACAATTTCTGGGCTTTCAGGTGCGTTACTGAAAATTAATAGCTCCCTTAAGAGAAATTTAATAAGTTTATATATTTCTTGTTAAATTTAAAATGGTTGTAAAGTCATATAGGTCTGGGCCTTGTGTGTGTATTTATTTCGTTTAATTCTACAAGTGAATTTATAATGAAATTAATTTTTAATGAGATGAAAATAAAGGTAAGCAAGCAACGAAAAAATAATACTAAAAATTATAAAACACTTATAAAAGCTTGAATACACAGTAGCAGTCTACGGGCAGCTTATTTGCTGGCAAAATTAGTAGTAAAGTTTTCTTAAGGCATATTAACGGAAATGTTTAAGTGCTTCTGTTTATTCCGTTTGTATGGCAGCTACATGCTATAACGGTCCGATTTGAAAAATTTATTCCGAAATTGTAGCGCTGCCTTAGACAACAATATGCGCCAAATTTCGTGAAGATATCACGTCAAATAAAAAAGTTTTTCATACAAAAACATGATTTTGTTCATTTACTTTGTATGGCAGCTACATGCTATAACGGTCCGATTTGAAAAATTTATTCCGAAAATGTAGCGTTGCCTTAGACAATAATATATGCCAAATTTCGTGAAGATATCACGTCAAATAAAAAAGTTTTTCATACAAAAACATGATTTTGCTCATTCACTTTGTATGGCAGCTACATGCTATAACGGTCCGATTTGAAAAATTTATTCCGAGATTTAAGCGCTGCCTTAGACAACAATATGTGCCGAATTTCGTGAAGATATCACGTCAAATAAAAAAGTTTTTCATACTAAAACATGATTTTGTTCATTCACTTTGTATGGCAGCTTCATGCTATAACGGTCCGATTTGAAAAATTTATTCCGAGATTTAAGCGCTGCCTTAGACAACAATATGTGCCAAATTTCGTAAAGATATCACGTCAAATAAAAAAGTTTTTCATACTAAAACATGATTTTGTTCATTCACTTTGTATGGCAACTCTATGCTATAATGGTCTGATATCGGCGCTACCGACAAATAAGCAGTGTATTGGGTAGACAAGTACGCGAGCTAAATTTCGGAACGACAACTCAAAAACTGATCTTTTAAATATATATTTTATAGGGCCTGCAACATTTTTTTCTGATTGTTACAAACTTCATAGCAACGCAACAAATATATTCAGGGTCCAAATAGACATTAATTAAATAAAAACTATTTATAATTAGACAATTAAATACGTTTAAACAATAAAGATAACTAAAAGAATAATAAAAATTATTAAAAGAATATTAAAAAGCATTCTTACAGCAGCATTTCCATAATCCAAGCCAAGGGCAGCGCTGGTTGAACTTACCTGGAAAGAGAAAAAAACATGAATTATTAGTGAACAATTTTCTTCACCTTAACTAACACTTTAAATTACTACACATAACAGTATAAAAATTCAATAATACTTTACTGAGTCGGCGTAGGTAAAATATGTTCCTTCTAAATATAATTATGTGAAGCTAAAGGCCGTCTAGTACAAGTTTTACATCCGTTTGCGAGCGAAAAGATATTGGGAGCAGCATAATACCTACAGGAGCGCCAGCTAACGGTTATGCAAATTAGATTTGCTCTATTTCAAGCCTACTTAAAAATCCATTAAAACTTTGCATATATCTAAAATGTGCCAACAATGGAATAAAGGTAAAATAACAATGGGAAAAATGGAGCAGAGAATGTGTAGAACACAAAATCCAATCATATGCTTTTATGTAAATATGCCAGCCAGCAAAATCGAACATGTTTACATTGAAAAGGTGGCACCTGAAGGAAGAACACATTGTACGAATGCAGAATGGCGAAGAAAATTGCCAGTGCACAGGCATAGAAGGGTGGTAGTCCACTTACAAGTGAGGATAAATGAAATGCACACATGTAGATTATAACAAGAAACAGTATGGTTGAATGGCGAAATAAAGAAATTGACAAAAGCTGTTTTTAATTTGCATCGAATCAATTTTCATAAAGTCATATGTGTGTGAGACAAACAGTCAAACGTGAACATGAACCCACGACATTAACGGAAGGAAGCATGAATAAAGCACACACATACAGACATTTTTTTATAAAAGCACGTACTGAAGCCTTGAAAGGCGTGTTACACATGATGCCGTAGGCAGTGCAGGAGCCAACACATATACACTCACTTATACATATAAATGCGCGCTTGGCATTAATTCTCATGTGTGTGCACCATATATATGTGTGTGTTTGGTGTTAAAATTGATGCCTGCAACGGAGTCTTGTGCATGTTGTCTTCCGCACAGCCGCTCACCCACAGCTGGCGTAGAGTCAACAGCAATATTTGCCGACTTTTAGGCGCAACAACGCACACGCTATCGAAATTCAAATTCAAATTCTAATATATATCGATTTGGCGCACATATTGTTATTGATATTGTCAAGGCTGCGAGTGAGTGAGTAGTTTTGAGTAGGCGCAGCAGATACAGCGAGGAGAAGAAGCCAGTCAGGTGTAGGGATATGAATAACAGCGGCGCACAGAACAAATGTCTTTACTGCAAATGTATTTAGATGCCAGTCATGCAGCCGTATCGATGCCAATTCTATTAAATTTGTTGACGCCAATGTAGCTGAACGCTATTCAAATGTCTCATTTACACACGCACACACAAAAACACGCGTATGTTGGTATCAGTGACACATATGGTTACGTGCCGCAGCAGCAGTTTGTCGGCGGCAGTGTGAGGGCAAATGCTTGGAAGTGTAGGAATAGAATTGTATGTATTTGGTGACAGAGCGTAGAAACGAACTTTTCAGAGTTTATTTGTGGCAAGAAGAAGTTAAATTTATATAAAAACTAAATAAAACTGGAGAAAGCGTGTTAATAATGCATACGAAAGCTGAAAGTGGAATATTATAAGTTACAGGTTGTAGCTAATAGATTTAGTTGGAGATTGTTAATCTAATTAGAGCTTTTAGTTACATTATTTGAGAGACATCAAGGAAAAATAAAAAAAAAAATTGTGTGTACGCATTGAGCATAATCAAAAAATTAGTAACATTCAAACAGTTTATACAACATCAATCATTTACCTAACTGCGCTCGCTTGAAAGCGAACAAAGTATTCATAATTCATATTATAATTTGAGATATCGATGTGAAATTTTACAGACGTTCGTTTTTCGTCAGAAAGCAGCTCACTTGTCCGAATGGACGATATCGGTCTAATATAGCTTATAGCTGCCAAACAAACCAATCTATAAAAGCAAGTCCTTGTATGGAAAACTTTTTTATTTGAAGAGTTATTACAACGAAACTTTCCAAAGATTATTGCTTGAAACCACACTATAAGATTTGAAGAAACTGTTCAGAACGGACCACTATAGCATATAGCTGTCATACAAATTTAACGATCAAAAGCAAGTCATTGTATGGTAAACTTTTTTATTTGACAATGGATCTTCAAGAAATCTGGTATGGATTATCGTATAAGAAAGCACTACAATCTCTGAATAAATTGTTCAAATCGGACCACTATAACATATAGCTGCCATACAAATTGAACAATCAAAATCAATTCCTTGTATGGACAACTCTTTTATTTCACAAGATATTTTCACCAACTTTGGCAGAGATCACTAACTCAGACAACGATATAAACTCTGAATAAATTGTTCAGATCGGATCACTATAACATATAGCTGCCATACAAACTGACCGATTCAACTCAAACAATTGTATGAAAATTTTTTTTATTTGACAATGGATCTTCATGAAATTTTATATGGATAGATAACCAAGATATTGCTATATTCTCTGAAGATCTAGTTAAAAATATAGTTGGTGTAAGTCATATACCTGTGGAGAGTATTAAATCGGTGAAGTTACCGTTTGTTTGCATTGCTCAAGCGAATTTCGAGCATTTTCCGTTATTGTATCGCATTTTTCAGCCGAATAGTAAGCACATTATTTATTTATAGGTTTGCATACCAAAAAAAAAAAGCACATATTCGCATTTGTGTATTGTGAATGTGTATGGATTACGTCTAAACTACAACTCACACCCGCGATACAAATTTCAAAAATAAGAAGAAAACAAAACAAAAAAAAAATCATAAAAAAATCCAAAAAAAAAAAAATAGGAAAAACATGTGAAAACGACGAACACTAACATTTCATGCGTACATTTTTCGTTTTCATATTTTTTGTACTTTTTTCAACTCTCTTTTCGTATCCTTCATAATACTCTGCTTGTCACATACGCTTATGCCGCACTCGCTTACACATATGCAGCTTGTTTTGACAAGTTACAATGCATATGTATGCATACGTATAACGGTATAGTATATTACACCGCATCGAAATACCTCCGACAACCTGAATAGTTGGCTGACAACATGGCCATTACGAAATATGACACACAACGCTGGAGTCGAGGTTATGTACGACATGCCACACGGACGACGGCTGTGTTGGAACTATGATTGCCATACTTACTTTGTGCTTGGATTCGTGTAACTGTGCACGTTTGTTGATGCACAGTATGTGGTGCTTTGTTATTACGCTTGTATGAGAGGAACTCAATCCTTTTTCGGAAAACACAACACCAACACAGCCACACCTATTTTAGTCCAGCCATTTGGCAAGCGCGCGTTGACTACAAATCTTAAATGAACGAATGTCTATTTTCCTATTTCACCTTTGTTCACCTGTCCTTTTTTACATACACAACCAACCCATACACATACACATACACTGTTTTCCACTTTTGGACAATTTGTTTGTTTGCCTCACTAGTTATTTTTCTATTTGCTCATATTGCCGCGTTGCATGCATGCATGTATGTGTGTGTGTGTGTGTGTGTGGCAAGAAATCATTCTAATAACTCATACGCCCCGCTGTCTTGGCAGCGGCATAAGCCAAGGATTGGTGCCGGCTCTATTGCGCGCCGAGTGTTTTGCTCCCCCATTTTTTATCGCCTGTCCGCCCGTATTTGTCGCGCACTCGTTTTGCGCACCGTTAAATACACCGGTAAATTCAGTTAACATTGCAGGTGTTGAGTTTTATGTGTATGCCACCTTTTGTGCACTACCCGTTCTTGTGCAATAAAAATCAATGCGCTTGTTGTTGTTGCTGCTGCTATTTTGTGTTCTAAAAACTTTGTTTTCAATTTTCTTGCACTTCTTTTCGATTATAGCGAATTGTTGGCACAAGCTTTATTTCTGCCATAGTCTATTTTGCTATTCGCTAGTTGTTGCATCAACAACGCCAGCGCAGCACAGCTAGAATGAAGAATGCTTTTATGATTTTTAGTGAGAAATTTTATTTCAATACATATTTGGTTCTTTCAAATACCATAGTTAGTATATTTTTTGAGCACATCGTCCTTATTTAGAAAAAAATAAAATAAAAAAATAAAAAAAATTGTAAATTAAAAATAAAAAAAAATTAAAATAAAAAATAAAATAAAAATAAATAAAATATAAATAATATATAAAAAAAATATAAAACAAAAATATAAAAAAAATTAAAAATAATAATTCAAAAATAAAAAAAAATCAATTTATGTTGGATAGGTTATAACTTTAAAAATAGCATACTAAAATTGGAAATAAATATTGCAAGGAGCTTTTGAGCTCAAGCCTTCCAAAAAATAAGATCCTTGTGCTCACAATACTTCCAAGACCAGTTTGTTTTTTTAATTTTTAATTTTGTTAGCGCCAGAGCTCGCGTTTAATATATTTTATGTTTTGCTTCGATTTTTCCGTGTATTTCTAAAATATGAAAAATGGTCATGCCAACCAAAAATTTTATTAAAAAAAATTTGTTTGTTCGTAAAAAACTTTTTTTATTCTTTGAGTGGTTTTTTCTTAATGTACATATATTTAAAAATACACACAGAAAATTTCATATCATTACGGTGAATATTTTCGAAGTTACCCGCATATTTTAACAGACAGCTCCAGTGTATCATGCCGTGGAGAGCCCAGATGTTTATACCGTAGTCCATTGTTTCCCTAATGCCCTGCTCTAGACATTTCCTACAGTCTTCTCGATCGGTCAGCCTCCTCACTGCGAACGTGTGTCGCCACCAGACAGTGACCAGTTAGTATTCCCATTATGCCCCTACGGTCTCTTCTCTCGACTGCCAATAAGAATTTTACATACTTCTGTACTACCGTTTTGCACATGATTTCCTTCACCATGCAAGTCAAGATCATCGTATAGACAATGCATGAGAGTAGTGCTACTAACAATTTTAATATTTTTCTATATATTAAGTATGATAACCAACATTCATGCTTAGCAAAGTTTGCCTCGCATTTCTGGCAATATTTCGTCCTCGTTGTGTCGAAGCAATATGCACGCTCAACATATATAAATATATACATTTTCTCGGCATCTCGAATGCCATAATTTGCGCTAGCCAATTAGCAATAAGCTGGTAAATGCTTGCAGTGCAAGTGCCCTTCAATAAATATTAGCGAAATATGTGAGCTTTAAATGTCAAAATTATGTTTGTTATATTTTAATTGGACAATTTTTAATATCAAACGCAAAAATCAGATAATAATACGAAAGAATCACATGCACCACGTAAGAAACAGCGCAAGTCATTATGAAAGCAACGCGAGAATTTACATGTTCCTTCAACTGGGTCAGGCTATAGAACACAATTCGAGTGAAATTGATGCGCGCATGAAACCACACAAAATATTATTTACGCCGTTTAATATAAAATATTGAATAAAGATGGTGCAAAAAGCACAAATGTGGTAGATAATGTGATATTGGCAAGACAACTTTTGAGTAGCGGCGACAAAAATTCAAATTAATAGGGACACAAATACGCCAGCAACAGACAAGGCAGCCGGTCAGCCGCACCTGCTGGTCGCTGGTCAACAACGCTTGGCGCACAGAAGTGCGTTTTTGTTTTTGTATTTTGAATTTTCGAATGTCTTGTAAATATCTAATTTTGGCTGTTTGTATTTTGTGGTATTTTGCTTTAATTTTGTCGACTGATCATTTGACAGTTTTCCAATTAACGCGACGCTGCCACATGCTGTATTAAATATAGACGCATTTCTATTTGCCCAGCACATAGCAATGTGTTTGTGAGTTATTTGTATTGCACAGATGTACATATAGTATATACATATATGTATGTACAAGGTAGATAATTGCAACAGATGCTTAATGTTGCATTTAATTAAAATTCAATTTCGAACGGAAGTCGCGTGAAGCCTTGGCTGCTGCACTCATTGATGGTTTCATGTGACTAATTTGTCAATTGAACTTGTTCACCTTAATTGCGCGCAAATGAGCTGAAAATGTTGCAAGTTTCGTATGAAAATGTTAAATTTTATTAACAACAACTATATGCATTTCCGCAAATTATGCAATTGCGTGCAATTTTAATGTATATTTTACATATAATAAATAATTCTATAGAAAAATGAAGAAATGAATAAAAAAAATTAATATTAAAAGCTGAGTGCTTTGTAGCTGAAAAATAAATAAAGTGCAATAAAGTGAACTTTATTTTATAAATGACATTTTCCATTCTCCATTTGACGTTTGTATATCTTGCTCTTCATTTCCTTTTCATAAAATCGCAATTTCCGTTTAACAGCAAATCATTTTTCTTATTTTCTCAACGCTAACCCATTATACCGAAAACTTTTGCCGAAATGAAATACACACACACACTCACATATACTTATAAACACACGTATTTGCAGCAGATTACACTTACAACTCCCAACTCGGTTGTTCTGCGCTGTCACAGCAAGGAATGTCATTTTTCTAGTCCAACTCGTACAGTAATGTGCGTTAAAATAGCAACGGTAGTACAAGCGGATTTAGGTGAAAGCATTAAATTTCAACAAGTACCACACAAAAAATAAAAAAAAAATTGTAAAATAAAAAAAAATTTAAAAAAAGAATTTAAAAAAATTAA